ATCTTGTTTTTTTTTTTTTTTTGCTTGAGGAAGATTAGCCCTGAGCTAACATCTATGCCAACCTTCCTCTATTTTGTATGTGGGTTGCCAACAAACCATGGCTGACAAGTAGTGTAGGTCCGCGCCAGGGATCAGAACCCACGAATTCAGGCTGCCAAAGCAGAGTGCGCTGAATTTAACCACTACCCCTCAGGGTTGGCCCCTAGGACTGAGCATTTTAAAGAGCCTATCCTCTTCACTTGATGTTACTAAATTTTGAGTCACACTAACTTCCCTTTTTAAAAATTCCACACACTGTAAGCAAACTTTTGATTATAATGCAGCTTTGCAAGCAGCATGTTGATGGAAATAATGAAAAAAATCAGAGAAAAAAACCACAGAGACAGGGAAATAAATCAAAGGCAGCAAAATGTTAATAGTTGGCAAATCCAGGTGAAAGGCTGTGGTGTTCACTGGACAACTCTCAACTTTTCTAATACAGCTTTAAATTTTTCAAAATACAAATATGAGGAAAAAGAAATAAGATAATTTTCTCAGCAGGCTAATCAAGTTTAGGAATAAAAAATGTCCTTGAAGCTAATTAGAAAAGCCCGAAGAAGATATCATTTTCACTCCTGTTTTAGTAAATAGAGAAAGAAAGCAAAGTCAACCTCTACATGTTTAAAAGCCGTTAACACTTTACAATTACATAATATTTCTCTCTCAGAATTCAAAAAATAATATAAAAATTCCTACAAAACATTAATTTTCTGAATCATCCTTACAATCTTTTGGTTCTATACACAATATTATTAACTTTTGAATCTGCATTGTTCTCTAAACTCTTGCTATTCAACAAGTGGTTTGGTGGACCAATAGCATCGCATTATCTATAAACTTGTTAAAAATGCAGAACCTCTGCCCTCAACCCAAACCTACGGAATCAGATCAAAATCTGCACTTTAGGTGATTTGTATTTACACTAAAGTTTGAAAAGCACTGCTCTAGACATTAAAATTCACTTACTACAAACATAAATCTATTCAAATAACAAGTATCAAAGTCAGTCAAAAATCAGAGAAAATATGTCTATTTGAAAACGTTTTAACAGACCCCCTCTCCACCTCCAAGAATTCAGTCTACACTACAAACCGACCCAAAAGTGTGTGGGGTGGAAGCAGGGGGCGGGGTGGGGGTGGGGGGGCTCTTGGAGACTTCAGTATTGCATAATAGTTAACCAAAATTAATTAATATCTTTGAAAACAACCCTAAAAGAAATAAATTCCAAGCAGTCTGCTTAAAACACAGACATGATTTGACATAGTCAACACAACAACATAAAAGGTAAAATAAATAATGACACATCAACTGACATAAAGTTGCTACTCAATAAATTCAATCTTTTGATGATAAACTATTTTCTAGAAACTTAAAAAAAAAAAAAAAAAAACTGCTTCCTCAGTCTAAAAGCATTGCTTTTCTGGGGCCGGCCCCGTGGCATAGTGGCGGCCTCTTCCGCTGCTGGCAGCCCGGGTTCGGATCCCGGGTGCGCACCGACGCACCGCTTGTCAGGCCATGCTGTGGCAGTGTCCCACGTAAAGTAGAGGAAGATCTGCACAGATGTTAGCTCAGGGCCGGTCTTCCCCAGCAAAAAGAGGAGGATTGGCATGGATGTTAGCTCAGGGGCTGATTTTCCTCACAAAAATAAATAAATAAATAAATAAATAAATAAATAAATAAATAAATAAATAAAAGCATTGCTTTTCTACATGCAAATTTAATGCTTACTCAGTTCCATTATAATCAATCAAAAGTCATAAGGTAGTACAATAGAGGTGGGCCTACCTCAATCAGTGTAAACTATCAATTCAACACCTGGGGACAACCTTTGAGGTAAGCAAGGTCTTGATATAACTCTAACTAAAGGGAACTTAGTATATAGAAAGAAATTTAGGCAATAATTTTCCTCCAACATAGGCCAGGGTTAGAAAGAGTAGGAGCAGTGAATAGAAACACATTGGTAGCTTGAGCAAATTTAAAACATCCTCTATAATTTCCTTATTAGGTCTAAGATTCTGCTTTCTATTTGATTTATTTAACAAACTTTCCAACTGGGAAGAAAATGTATGACCTACTAAGGACCCCAAAGAAAAATTCACTTAAAAATACCAAGAATAAACCTATTACATGTTAACATAAAACTCATATTTTCATGAAAAATAACTGTATTTTCCAGAACGACAACAAAAATTTAGGAGGAAGACTGGCATTATTTTCATTTTGCAAATATCTTTAATGTCTGGCTTAATAGAAAATACATGGACTATCTTATTTGCTTCTACATTCAATAGTCTACAATATTATCTTGGTTAAAACATATAAACCTCCAGGCTTACAAAAATACGTAGTTGAAAAAAGAAGTAGTAGATGAACAGCCTTTTCAGATTTGTGGATATTCTTCTTTGATACTATACCAAATTCAGTTAAGTATAGTTTATTATAACATTAATGTGAAATGTGAAACCATATCAATGAACATTTCGTACTCTGTCACATTAAAATCTCTAATTCTAACCTTGCACTTTGAACGGATCTTTTACACATGCACGATTTTGCAACATCATGCATTGGTCATTTTGAAAATATTTGTTTACTGAGTTAATGTAGGTCTTCTCCAAATGCTGACACATTTCATTATGTAAAATTTCTTAAGATTCAGATTTGTTAAAGTGACCACCAATCTCATCAGAAAATTCTTTAAGGGCTAGCCCCATGGCTTAGCAGTTAAGTGCGTGAGCTCCGCTGCTGGCGGCCCGGGTTCGGATCCCAGGCTCGCACCGATGCACCACTTCTCCCGCTATGCTGAGGCCACGTCCCACATACAGCAACTCGAAGGATGTGCAGCTATGACACACAACTATCTACTGGGGCTTTGGGGGAAAAATAAATAAATAAATAAAATTAAAAAAGAAAATTCTTTAAGAATAATAAAGATGTCAAACTCATGGTGGCAGATATGTGTTTTCCAAAATTCTCATTTTCCCTTAAAAGTTCAAATTTTATCATTGGCAACAAATACTGTCAGGTGTTTTCCTTAGAATGAGAGGTTCACTTCATTAATTTTCAAGAAACTGTCTCACAAATACCCAAGTCTAAATAACAACAGTTTGTCTGTCAGTCACTCTTTCAAATAAAAAATGATGTTTCATGAAAAGGTGACTCATTCAGCTTGCAACTCAAACAAGAAAGAGCACCAGTGCTTTACATATACTTCCCATTTCATCACACAGGAGATTAAAAAGACATGTACTTAAGAGTCAAGATTAATATAATAATTTGTACTGCTTCATCCGAACAGTCTTAAGTGAAACTGGTATTCTTTTTACTGCAAGTGTGTGGCGGTGAAGAATATAATGATCACTAATACAGTTTGATGTACTGCCTTGCTTTGTGCTAAGGTGCCAAAAGTTTTACCTACCACTGCTTTTGCAGATTACTACAAATGTAAACACAGTGGAAAGGACAAATAGCATCTTAATATTATTACAGAAATAGATGTGACCTCATGGAGCCCCTGAAAGGGTTTCAGGAATCTCCATGGGTCCACAGACCACCTCGAGAACAATTACACTATACCAGTTGTAACAACTTTAAGCCTTTCCTATCATTATTACAATCTATCAACTCGTTCAATCAATAATTACAGAGGGCTTCTCTTAGTATGTAGTGCCTGCTAGGTACCGTAAAGTGTCTGAGTGTCTTTGTGACATTCACTCATGTATTCTGAGCTCCTAGAACAGTGTCTGGCTGGCACACAGCAGGCTCTCAATATTTGTTGAATGAATAAATAAATGGGCAGCTATGATATATTTTAATCTAGATTTCAAAATCTTTTAGAGTGCCTTACACGCAAGCACACACACACATACACATGATCTAATTATCAGAATTATTTTTCAACATAACAGGAAACACTTGTTAGGCAATATGGAACCTCTACCCTTACTATGCTTGGAGTAGTTTTACCTTCACACCATTCTAAACTTAAATTATTATATATACAGGCAGTCCTTACTTTGCATGGTACCATGGTAACTGAAACTCATGCATATCAGAACCATATCCTCACTCTGTATGGTTCTGTGGTAACTAAAATCTGTGGTAATGTGGTACTCTGCAAAGCACGTTAGTGCAAATGATAGGGAAATAAACGCCAATGACTCACATCCTCTATTTCAGTAAAATGGGAAGGACAGCATCTTAGGAAGAATGGGTGAGCAGACTCCGGGCAGTGACTTCAAATGAATGCCCCTTATGGGAAAGCAAATCAGACACCTAAATAACTTTTCAATCTGTTAACATACCTCCCTCCCACTATACACTGGCATTTGAGAACCACTTCGTAGGAATCAACTAATAGAGGTGTTTTGATCCTTCAATGGTATTTGTGAATTGCTTGGGGGTTGGAGGATGGGGTTAGGGGGAAAGAGGGACTAGTACTTCAGAAAATATGGAAACAAAATTAGGTTACAACAAATCTAGCCTAGTTTTAAAAACTCCAGGAATTACTATTTCTCAAAACAGACTTAGTTCAAGTCTTTGGACTTCTATCTCCTAACCCTTCTCTGAATTCAATCAAAATAGCCTTAGAGTTACTCAGCAGTGTTAGGCTGTTCCCCTCCCCACTCCCATGCCCACATCTACACTCAGGATTTTGTTCTTCCTATTTGAGGTTTTTTTTTAAATGATTATAAATACTCCAAAATATTATAAATTTTAAACAGTGTATTCAGCTCCAACAAAATATAATTGTTTATACACTAAATGTTTAAATGGTTCTGCCAAGGGTTAGGAAGAAAATGAAAGGTATTTTATAGATGAACACTAAGGGCAGCTTAGCAATTAAAAAGTATCATGGAAAAAGCAATAAACAACTTCATTTAAAAAAAAAAATTCTATGCTAAGTCTACTTACTAAGTACCACCAGTGGGACGAATGGGGAAATGCTATTTAAACTATACCTTAAAATGTACTGTGATGTTCCAAGGAAGAGCTGAACTTGATGCAAGAAGATCAAATAGCAAACCAATTGGATAATGCCTAAAAATGAAAGAGTATGTTTTAAGATAAGAAAGAATAAATATTTAAAGTTTTAACTACAACTCCAAAATAAATTTCCAGCACATGTTTTAACATCAAATTATCAGGGGGCTTTAGCTGCAAATCACAGGAAGGTAACACTTTATACAATTACTGGCCTGGGCTACAACAGTATAGTTTTCAGTCATCAGGTTGTTTTTCTTCTAACCATTTCATTCTCCTGGGAAGCCTCAATATACATAACAGGATTGTGATAAGGCATCTTTTATCAGTGAGCACTGTTACCTCACAGTACTGCAGTTATCTAATTATCACCCCAGTATTCGTATTGGGCAGTTTTTTAAAGTTTATTTAAATATATTTTTCAATGTTTTAAAAAAACTTACAATTTTACAAAATTTTCAGAACTGAGAAGAGCATCTAAAAAAGCACATAAGCACCTATTTTGTGGTTATTATTATTAACATTATAGCATATAAATTTCCAGTCTTGTACTTACGCATACATATCTAAATACAGATTAGGCTTATCCTTTACAAACTGCTATCATCTGCTTTTTTCATATAATGTCAACATTTTCCAAAGTCATTGAATATCCTTCTGCAACCTAGTTCTAAAGTTTTTTTAAAAAAATAAATTTTGGACTTCCTAAATAAGAGAACATTTCCTAATCTAACCATTACCCACCAGTGAAGCAAATTATTTAGCAACGAACAAAGGTTAATAATACAAACCTTGCAGATTTCAATGGATAAACCTTATTTTTTAAAGAATATCAAGTAGCTTAATTAGTGAATCCGAATTAAATAAGACTCCTAACAAAAGTAAAAAGAGGACTATTTGGTGTTTGTTATATACAGCCCTGTTCTTTCCAGTAGAACAGTGAGTTACTCCTAGATTTAAGAGCTGAAAAAAATTGAAAATAATCTAATTTCCCTCAAAATGAGTGACCCAATACATTACCTGACCAAGATTCAAATATTACTTAATACTATTTATGTCTGCTTAAGTCTACATAATATAATTGTGGAAAAGTCATCAGTCACTAGAGAGCATGTATTTATTTAGAATGAATTTAGGATGAATGCTCTGCTAGTAAAATACACCAGTGGGTAGCTTTAGTCATATATCTGTTGTATCTCTTAACAAGAACTCTTAAACTTCTCTCTAATCGAAAGTCAGCATCTAACATGAATCTTTCATAACTAGAAACGAATCTAAAGGAAATTTTGGACTACCTAAATAATAGAATGTTTCCTTCAGGAAATTCTGAAACCTGAAAAAACTCTGGCCTCAGTCAAAAACTAAAATAAAAATAATAACTGAAAAAACAAAAATATTGCACTATAGAGAAGTTATAGATTCTATCCAATTTGGATCCTTCTCTCTGAACTCCTAAAATTGTACAAGCTCTACAAAATGCCTTGTACTTTTACAAAACAGACCTTTTTTATTTTTCAGTCTTCATTCTTTTTTTTTAGAATGTCCCTCTTAGGTATCAGCAACTAAGTTAAGAATGAATGTGGGTACTTAAACTAACAGAGTATATTGCTTTCCAAATTCTATGTAGCACTGCAGATATAACAGAATCCCTTTAGCAAATTATGTAGTTGATCTATTGGACAGATCCACCAGTGATTCCACAAAATAACTAGCAATCTTGTGTTGTACACATTCTCTGCCATTCACAAATGGAACAGTAAGCAAATTCTAAACTTAAATATTATCTTAAAGCCATTTAAAATGTCATATAAAATCAAATACAATTTTTTAAATAAATAATAAGAATTTGGGTCAGAATACAAGTTTGAAATAAGACGACAATCATCAATTATTTTTTATTCTCAGTATTAAAAAAAAAAGACAGTGCGCAGAATCTTGAACAAAGTAGATAATAAATAGCTGTTGAATGCATAAATCAATAAAGAAACATAGAATAGTTAATCCTCAATATACTATAAAGATCCAATGGACCGAATTTTAGGTTCTGAGTTTCTTTTTTGAGCAGTTCAAACCATTTTAGGATACTTCATAACTTTTATTCTTTCTTGAAGGTCTTCCAAAAACAACAGAGAAAACTCACCAAAAAAAAAAAAAAAAAGAGTAAAACTTATTCTGTCTAGTAATTGCCATATGGATCCACTGGACCCTTTCATAAATCTAAGATATATTATGGGATCTTAGTGATCTTATTTTTTCCTGTATCACGAAACATTTTGCTATTTCATCATTCTAGGAACTATTTCATCAATATTCACCAATTATTCCCAACTATGCCTAAAAAAAGACTAATAAGAATTTGAAGAATACGGACATGTATAGAAAGATGATACAATAATGCATCCTTCTTCCATTTCTTACTGTTTTGCCTAAAATATTACATTACATTTCAAGAGAGTATAAATAAAAGGATGCAGACTCCATCTTTGGAGTCTGCTTTTAGCTATCATTAGTACAGCTGAAAATTCAAAATGTCTTATTTTCCACCTATAATAGGAAAGAAAAGGAACCGACAGAGGAAGATGTTACACGATTATTAGATAAATCAGAAAATTTTTGCAAAGAGACAGATAGCAGACTTTAATGACAATGGTAAAATTGATTGTTTAAGTGAAATCTCAGACTTTAAGTCTTTAGATGATGATATCCCAGATGAATTTTATAGAACTCAAGAACTAATGAATGAACAATATATTTCTAAGGACATATGGTATTCTTACCCACTTAGTCATTCAACAGAAAGGATTTCATCATACAATATTTTATGACAAGAACTTAGAACATTCAACTTTGCTAAAAGGATGTGTGACAGTATTCTTTGATCTTTTATGCCATTTGTGTACTGCAATTTACCAGTGGGCAAATGCCAAAGGCAGATTTGTACACAAAAATTATTGGAAAGAATTAGATGATGTAGAAATGAACAAGTATTGAACTGATCATTCTAATTGATGTTTACTAACGTAAAAAGCTAAAGGTCCAATGTATTGCCCTATAAAAATTGTCTGCACCAGAATATTTAGTGTTAGGTCTATTTTCACATTTTATTCATTTTCTTTCTCTTCCTTAAATTACTCTAGTCTTTTCTAAATTCAATTCTGAAAATGAATATTTTCTTTTTGTCTGCATAAGTTGTTTCTTCTTTACCCTTTCATTACTGCTAAAATACATATATATATACTGGCACACTGTGTAGCAATAATGGATATGCTCTGAAGTCAGCCAAGGATGCTCATTCAAGTCTAAACATCTGCAGTCAGATAGTAAACCAGTATTCTAAGATCAGCATTGAAAGGAATCTTCCCCATGTACTAGGGAACTCTTGTCCCACTCCCATTTCACTGAAATAAATGCATCCTATTCATAAGTTTGCTACATCAGTGATTCACTGAAAACAGGATTACATTTCATTGAATAAAGAAGGGTATAACTCATATGTAAACCAAAGTAATTTAATGATTACAGTCAATTTTGCCTTACTCCATCTATGGTATAAACACACTTGTAGACTAGCACTGTGTTTCACAGCTTTCTACACCTATTCTTACACATGAAAAAGTGCAAAAATAACTACATGTATAAAATACTAAGTAAACCACATTTCGAAAATCTAGTTTACAGAATAATTTATGAAGTTCTAGAAACTTACCACCTTAGAAAAATGACTCGACATAAGAGAGAAGAGCCTGCACGGTATTTATGATTAAGATGTTAAGGTTATTTTGTTATAGTTTACTTTTGAAATCACATACAGTATTAAATTCTGGGTCATTCTATTTATGTCTATGTTTAAGATCAACATCAGTATTTGCTTTTTTTTTTAATTCAAAGGTAGTTTCAACTTCTTACTTTCAACAACCAGTCCTGAAAATAAGTCAATTTACACAAAATAATAATATCCCATTAGAGACACTTGTTTTATAGTTGACAAAGAGAGCTTTTTCTAAATTTTGTACCTGAAGGCCTAAGATTTAACCAATATTAGAGTATACTAAAAAAGTACTATTTAGAAGAACCAAGAACTGTTCTCTTAAAATAAGTCAAATATAAAAGTAACAAACACAAATTTTGAACACTTGAGTTATAGCAACAAGAAACCTGACCCCTTAAAATGCAATGTTAGAGCACCCTCTGCTGACTAATCAATGAAATCACTCTAAAAAAAAGAGCCTTACGTTTAAGTTAGATCAGCACTTCTCATTTCCCGTGTAATTTTTAAAAGTTAAAGAGACAAAAGACTGTAGAGAATAAAGTACTAATCAGATAAAACCTCCTTGGAATCTCTACAAATCAACAATATATTAAGTATACATTATGTGTATATCACTGTTCTTATTTTCTATTTTAATATGGACAAATCAACATAAGTAATTAGAGAGAACATACAGAATTGGAGAAAACTAACAAATAGAATATCAGCAGGTGTGGTGCAAAGAGCCCTGAAATGAGACTCTCAAAATCTGGCCCTATTCCCTCATTTTAATAATAAATAGAAGAGATTAACTTAGATTCATTCATCGAACAAACATTTACTTAGCACCTCTTACGTGCTATTGCTTAAGGTATAAAGCCCCTGCTCCAGCATCTCACGCAGATGATTAAACAATTATAATAACAATAAATACAAACAGGAGAAGGAGTTATACAGGGAGAAGGAATATCAATTTATGCTTTCTTCCTTCTTTTATGAATTTTCTAAACTGGTGTTTGATTTCCTTTCTCACTTGAATTTATTTAAAACTCCCCCTTCCGGGGGGTGACATTCAGCCTGCCGTTCGAAGCTGCAGGCTGTCTGTCCTAGAACCATGGCCCAGTTTGTCCGCAACCTGGCAGAGAAGGCCCCGGCACTGGTACACGCTGCTGTGACTTAATCGAAGCCTCGATTGGCCACGTTTTGGCACTATGCCAATGTTGAACTGGTTCCTCCAACCCCTGCTGAGATCCCCACAGCTATTCAGAGCTTGAAAAAAATAGTCAATAGTGCTCAAACTGGTAGCTTCAAACAGCTCACAGTTAAGGAAGCTCTGCTGAATGGTTTGGTGGCCACTGAGGTGTGGATGTGGTTTTATGTCGGCGAGATCATAGGCAAGCGTGGCATCATTGGCTATAATGTTTCAAGACCAATCTTTAACATCTGTTTATATTTGGTTTATTATTTGAGTGTTATTGGACCATGTGTGATCAGACTGGTATTTGAATAAAATAAAGATATTGTGTCAAAATCAAAATAAATAAATAAATAAATAAAACTCCCAAGAATCAAGTATAAGAAAGATGTTATCGTCCTACTCTGATAAATGCTCCTCTGTTCTTAAGACACTTGTATGGTCTCAAAAGTCCAAGTCCTACAAAGTTTCAGTGGTAGCTGCTTCCCTACAATGATCATCCTATTCTATGAAGCCCACTGCTTAAATGCCAGGTAGACAGTGATAGCCTATTTCCAGGAAGATAATTCTTTTAACACAGGAAAAAATTGCTATTGTTGGAAGCAAAGAGAGAAAAGATCAAGACTTAACCTAGAGGCCCTGGATTACATTCATTTTCCGGAAGTTACTCATTCCTCAACTATATGGAGTACCCAACAATACTAAAGGAAAAGTTGTATCAAAAGCCATTTAATACAGTGAGCTTACAGCAAGACATAACTACGAAAGTGATATCGTGCCTAAAAAGTTAACACCCCAAAAACTAAAATGAAGATACATGAACACAATTACTCTCACATAAGCTCTCTAAAAGGGAAAATAATTTCACTCTTTAATGAAAGACTTTCAGAAGAGACAAATACTGACCAAGTAGGAACATGATATCTTGAAGCCAAAATCATTACCCTGTAGTAACAGGGAGAAACAGATCCAAACATTATTTATTGATATCATATGTAGAGTACAAATCTATAGAATACAAATCATACCAAATACAAAAATAATCACCACATAGGATAGATTAAAACAGCAGCTGAAAGATGACGACAATCTTTTACTATAAAAGCTAAATTGAAGTTTCCCATCTTTTCCAGAGTTTCTCAACTAGGGGTGGTTTTGCACCTCCTGCCCCAGGACACTTGGCAACATTTTTCATTATCACAACTGGAGGGAGTGCTACTGTCGCTAGGAGGAAGAGGCCAAGTAAAAATCCTACAGTGTACGAGGTAGCCCTCCCATAACAAAGAAGAACCTCAGTCAAAACGTCAACAGGGTCTTTGTTGAGAAACCGTGCTTTACAATGACAGAATTGAAAAGTCTGCTGTCAGCTGCATGAATTCTTACTATAATCTATAACTAATACACATAAAGCCATTTCAACATCCAACTATAATACAGATAGAACTCTCAAGAACACAGATATTTCCTATTGCTACTCAGCCACAATCCTTCCCCCTCCTTCCTCTCTCTCTACTCTCCTGATCCTTGCCCCTCTTATACTTCTTTTAAGTCACCTTCTCATTCTAAAACCTCCAATACTTCTGAGAAATTAAAAAAAACAAACAAACAGAAAACACTGACTTATCTATGCTGCCTGAGGTCTAGAACTATTCAAGAGTCATGAGTCTGATAGCCGATCATGAAGCTCAGAACTGTTTTGACTAAAAAATGAATGTTATAAAAGAACTTTGGCACAGAACCACCTCAAAAGGTTAGAGACACGACCCATACCTTAATACAAAATATCACCTTATATGTTTCAAAACCATTATGAAAAACCTACTCACTCTTGGGAATTCATCAGCACAAGATGAGTTCCAAAAAGTTCACTCCTTGTTTCTAAGTAATCCTTGGATTCGAGTCAGCTGCACTTATTAAACACCTACTAGCTTCCTTTTATTAGAGTCTCTTTTAAAACTTTTCATTTTAATATTCCCAGATTCAGAGAGCAAGTCCGTTTTTAACCTATTTATAATTTCATATTTCATTTCAATCTTGACTCAATCTGTATCTTCTTCATTCAACTACATCCATATGGCAGCATTTCAACACCTATATCCCAGCATACCTTGAACCACTTTCTTATATTCTTCACTCTGTAATTTCTCCAGTTTCAATAAATATTTTTGGAAGCACAATGAACAAAACTCCCAGTAAGAGATGAGGTACAAAAATACATCCTCTGTACACGGATAAGCCCAGATTTAGAATTTATTTTCAATACGCTTCTTAAAAATGATAAAACATCAAAATTATTTTTCACATAAAAAGGAAATCAATATATTTTAAATACTAAACCAAGGCTAGATAAGATGTACTTACAGCACAGTGATCAACTAAATGTGGCCATCAGTTTGAAAGAAGCCACTTTAGGTTACCATGTGTATATAAAAGTCTGTTATAAAGATTTTGGAGATAGAAACAAAATTGAATAGAGTCACAGAGTGACTTATTCATAAGAGATTTTTAAACATCTCTGCTAAAAAAACCCCCCCATAACCAAGTATACTATTATTATGCCATATAAAAAATCTATTGCTGAAAATACACAAATCTGTCCAGTCTCCCATGCATCCAAATAGAAGGCAGAAATATTTTCAACAAAATATTCTAACAATGGTTTAAAATTCACTGTACTATATGAACTAGACTAGTATCTGTTTCTTTATAGAACTTTTAAAAAATTGCTTCTGGGCACTATACCTTCTTAAAGCTAGCATATACTCAATGCTTAATAATGCAGAAAAATTCACTCACCATTTCAGTGGTGTGCCTTCATATTCAAACCATATCTCACTAATGTCTTCTTGTCTCATAACCTTCTGAAAGTGCTTTTTCACTTTGTCAGTTACCAACGTCAAATAACTTACTCTTGGCAAAAGCAACTGAAATGACAATTTGTAAAACCATATTTATTTACTATTTTTTTAAAATATATACTAAATAGGTTTGTGAATTTTAAGGAAAAACAGTCATGTTCTTTGCATTATTTTGAATAGTCCACACAAAGTCAACTGCTTTTTACAGAAAATCAAAGGCTAAAGATGAAGACATTTTAAAATTTCTTACGAGGTCATTACTCTAAGTATAGCTTAAAGCAAAAATGCCTAGAATAAACAACATAAATCTATGTACAATCTTTCCATAATACTTTTCTCCAAATAAAAATACAATGTAATCAAATGGCACGCTATTTAGGATAATTATTAGTTCTATCAAATTTAACTTAAAAATTAACATGATTCACCTGAGTTAATTAAACTGCTCTGAGAGGATCAACTCAGTCCTAATACACCTTGACTTATCAATCAGGACTTCTCGATTGGTCCAACATGTTTTGATAATCTACTGTGTATCAGATTAGTTGCAACGAAGAATATCAAGACAAACACATAATCTGTCCTCTTCTATATGAGGCTAAAATAAAGTGGAGGTAAAAAAAAAAAAAAAAACTTATAAAAAGTACTTACAAAAATACTTCATGGCAGCAACAGAAAGGCCTTTAAAGATCAAATAGAAATTTTCATTTGATGAACAATAGGGGCCCACTACTACACCATGAATAAAAAAATGGCATGAGGAGAAACAGTACTTGAGGAATATTCTAGCAATTGTACATACAAGACTGAAAGAGAAGATTATAGACAGGAAATCTGTTAAAGAAATAATACATGAGGAGATGGAGAATGAAAGAATGGAAAAGTGGGGAAGGTCTGGACATCAGAACAGATTTTGGTGATTAATAATGCAGAAACTGAAGGAGAGAGATACGTTAAAGATGACTGACTTTTGATCTACACATTTAAATCTTTAAAGTACAATACGGCACAAGCTTAAGGTATAATGCTAGTAGACTGGTGATCCTGCCACTGTCAATCAGCTCCCTCAATCTTGTCCTTATGGAGCTGGATGTACTCGGACTTTGGAGAGAGAGAAGTCTGGGAGGGAATGTTGGGCTAGGTAAAGCCTCAACTGGAATAGAATAATAGTTTTTTCCCCCAGGAAAGGTACCCACAGAAAGAAAATATAAGAGAGCATTTTGGAAAATTGGTTGGGATTTATATAAAGGTCCCACAGGTATATAAAAAGAGAAAAGTGGCAAAAATTCATGTTTTTTCCTCTTTTGCAATTGACACTCTAGCCATTTCTTGCTTTCCTAAGCCTCTGTCTTCTTTTGCTGGCAAAATTTTGTTACTCTCTTTCAACTGCTTTTGTGAGTCTAACTCTGCACCATTTCCCATGCTGCTTATTCAAGGTTATGTCTTTTGATCAGTAAATCAAATAGAACCACTGGGCTGGGGAATATATATAAAGAGAAATATTCTGGTTAAAGGAACTGATATTTAATCACTGAAGATCAAGATAAGAGGCCCCAACTAGGTAAAAGAACATGATCAAGCTCCTAAGGGCTATAGAGTAGGGGGGGTGTGGAAGGTAGTCGGCATGCTCCAGTATGGAACAGAAGGAACTAATACTACAAACAAGTTGTTGGATAGTATTGTGGATTCAACAGAACATAAGTCCTCTGTTATAAAGAAACAACTAGAAGTGATTAGGGAAGAAAAGAAAAAGGAAACCAATACTTAACTACATATAAGGAAAAGTGCTAGTTGTTTTACAGGAAGCATTATCACCTCTATTTTACACACAGCTTAAATAGCTTGCCAAAATCATATTCTATTAAATAAGTGGCAAGGAAAAGATTCATTCGAGTCAGAAATGACAGAATCAAAGACAGATGTAACATGGACAGTCTATGAAATTAAAACAGGATGGTAAATTAGCCATTTTATAATCTATTAGTCTAATAAGTTCTATATTAGTAAGTCCAGAACTTTAATTAAAATGTCTGTTGGGTATTACACTTTAATCTATTCTGTAGAGAATGATATTAACCTATAGAGACTGTAAGAAGGAAGACTCATAAGGACTAATAAGTACGGATATCAACTCCTGATTCTGCAGTGTGTTGTACTACATGCCCAGGGTTCAATCAAAGTTGCTGGAAAACACACAAATGATTTTCATGAAACAAAAACTTTTTTATAATAAGGAATGAGGAACATTAGAATGTAAGCTCCATTAAGACATAGCTCTTTGTCTGTTTTGTTCACTGCTACAATCTCATGGCTAAAACAGTGCCCACTTTATGCGAGGCACACTATAAATATCTGCTGGATGAATGAGAGATACCAAAGATTACGTGGGACAAAAGGCCAAAAATGGACAAAAGTTAAAAAAGAATGCCCCTTCTTAAGACAGAATCTACACTGAAATGTGGCTGGAAACTTCTGTTCCAAATTAGCCTGTGGGAGTCATCTGTAACTAACACAAATATCTATAGTAGCACTAAGAAATAACTGTAAGATTTAAGAATGACTATACTAGAGTAGATATAATTTATCTAGTAAATATTTAAATACGTAAAAATGAAAAGAAAGTAACAGCAAGCAGACATCATTCTGCCTTCTACATCCAGACAGTATCACTCATTGTTTTTCTTAGGTGTATCTCATTGGTTTACTTTAAGTGCTTTTTTTTTAATTGTGGTAAATTTACCACTTCAACCATTTTTAAGTTCATAGTTCAGTGGCATTAAATACATTCACACTGTTGTGCAACTATCACCATTATCCATCTCCAGAACTTTTCATCATCCCAAACTCAAATTCTATACCTATTAAACAATAAATCCACCATTCTCCTCTTCTCCAGGCCCTTGGTAATCACTTTTCTACTTTCTGTCTCTTTGAATTAGACTATTCTAGGTACCTCGTGTAAGGGGAATCATAAAATATTTGTCCTTTTGTGTCTGGCTTATTTCACTTCAATTAATGCCTTCAAGATTCTTAAGTTCTTTTAATATGAAAAGGATTAACGCCCTCCAGGGATCTATCTTGTCAGCTACAAGCAATCTATCATTCACTTATTCCTCATTTAGCACTGTCAAGCACTCGGTGAATATGACACAAGTGATTCATTTTTTTTCTATACAGCTTGTAAGAAATACATGTTTTACATAGTTGTATAGACTGCTTATATTTCTGAAAAAGGTGCCTGTAATATTATTTGCTTATGCCAAATTCTACTTTGTCCAACAATTTTCAATTATCATATTATAGATTTACTTATCTAGAATAAAAATAGAATTAAAATACATTAGAATTCTGTTCCATTTCAACGTGAGGCATCATACTAGGCAATGAGGATAGAGCACTGAATGAGACGGGAAGAGTTCTTCCTCTCATGGAGCCTACGGGCTAGAGAGGAAGACAGACAGTGAAAACAAAATTTCAAACGTGATGAACGCGAGAAAGTACAGAATGTAATAACAGCAAGTAGCAAAGGCATTTAACGTAACCTAGGGGCTCAGGGAAGGCCCTGACAGGGAAGTCTATTTTAAGCTAAGAGTCAAAAAGCAAAGAGGAGTGAACCAAAGAAGGGTGGGTATGGATGTCTGGGTGTGGGTAGGGGTGGGAGATACGGCTGCTCACTCTAGACAGAGGAAACTGTGATAAGGCATGGAGTAATACAAAAAGACAAAGATTGGCATATCTGAGGGACTATAAGAAGTTGAGTATGACAGGAATCTAGAGGGTTGGGACAGAAAAGTACTGAAGAAGCAAGGGAATCAGATCATGGAGTACCTTGTAAACTATATTAAGGATGCTAAAGATGAAGAAAAGCCTATAAAGGTTTTAAGCTGGCAGGTGACAAGATCAGATATGTGTTTTGAAAAGATTACTCCAACTGCAGACTGGAAAATGGAAAGAGAGCAAGATTGAAACCAGGGAAATTAGTTAGTGCTATGCAATCCACCAGTTTTAAGTGGTGGTCTCAACTAGGTTGTAGCAGTGTGTATGAAAGGAACTGGATAAGTTTGAAATATATTTGAGATATAAAATCAGATGGACTGTTACTGACCGAATGTCAGGGATATGGGAGAAAAAAGCAACAAAGGACGAGTCTGGTAATTAATTACTGGTAAGAGTAATTAATTAGTTGGATGATAGGTCTACTTGCCAAAATAGGAAAGGAATGTGGCAGATAACCAGATTGCCTGGGGGTAGAGCATGAGTCCAGTTTCAAACACACCAGTTTGAGTTTCTTCAAGACATCTAAGTGAGGATATCCAGCAGAAAGACATATGGAGCTCAGGAGAAAAGTCTTGGGAGTTGTCAAGACGAAATGCTCAACAAAGACATAAATATAGGGTCAGCCCGGTGGTGTAGTGGTTAAGTTCGCGTGCTCTGCTTCGGCAGCCCAGTGCTCTGCTTTGGCAGCCCAGGGTTCGCAGGTTTGAATCCCAGGCAAGGACCAACACACGGCTCATCAAGCCATGCTGTGGCGGTGTCCCATATACAAAATAGAGGAAGATGGTCACAGATGTTAGCTCAGAACCAACCTTCCTCATTAAAAAAAAAAAAAAAAGACAAAAATAGATGAGAGCTCTAAGGGGAAAAAACAAGAGGCAAAGCTCCAAGGAATGCCAACATGGAAGAATAAGCAAAAGAGGGAGATCTGGGAAAGAAGACCACAAAAAAACCAAAAGGAGACCACCAAAAAACCCAGAAAATCAGAAATATGAGGCAGTGTAGAGCAAGGGAGGACAGTGCCACAAAATGGAGAAAAGAGCCAACAATATCAAATACTGCTGAGAGATAAAGCAAATGAAAATTCAAAAAGAGACTCCAGGTTTGGCAACAAAGATGTCATTAGCGACTTTGGCAAGAACAGTTCTGTTGGAGTAGTATGAAAATGTGATTACAGTGAGGTACGTGGTGGGAGGCAGGAAGGAGACAATGAGTATAGACAACTTTTTTAATAAGTATGGCTGTGAAGGGAAAGCAAGAGGTTGAAAGGGAGATGGAGTCAACAGAGGGTTGTTTTAGAATAGGAAAGATTTAAGACAATATAAATGCTGCAAAGGAGACAGTAGATAGAAGAGGTCAAAAGTAAAATAAATAGAGAAGGCAGGAGTGGGATCCAGAACAAGATGGAAGGTTGGGCTGTGCTTAGGAAGAAGGACATCTCTTCCATTAAAACAGGAGAGAAGTAGTAAATATGTGTAAGTGCTGATAGGTTTTGCAGATTGGTGGCAGAAAGTTAAGGGAGATCCCATCTCATGGTTTCTATTTTTTTTGTGAAGTAGGAAGTAGGATCCCATCACCGTTAAGAGTGAAAGATGAGGTTAGGTGCCAGAGAAAGCCATAGTGGAGAACAGAGACAGCTGACTAAGGCAACATAAAAGGACTGCTGGGTAATGTCTAGGGTCCACTCCAGTTGATGACCATGTGTCTGATGGTGTGATTTCCTCTGGTAACAAGTCACACAACATGAATGCAAATTAGTATGTATGTTTTTATATTGGATAATCTAAATGAAAAGTAATAGTTTAAATGAACATAACAGGGGTCGGCCCAGTGACACAGCAGTTAAGTGCGCATGCTCTGCTTCGGCAGCCCAAGGGTTCGCAGGTTCAGATCCCGGGCACGTACCGACGCGCCGCTTGTCAAGCCATGCTGTGGCGGCATCCCATATAGTCGAGGAAAATGGGCACAGATGTTGGCCCAGGGCCAGTCTTCCTTGGCAAAAAGAGGAGGATTGGCATGGAGGTTAGCTCAGGGCTAATATTCCTCACAAAATAAATTAAAAAAGTAAAAAATAAATGAATATAACAGAAACATCAAAAACTGAAAATCTGCCTAGTTTCTAACAAATTTCCTTCCTAATATTCCCTGCAAAATAAGATATAATTCTCAATGATATACATATAGGATGTAGGCTGAAAGAAGGTTTATGTGGGGGCAACAAATCAAAATGCAGAAATAAACAGGAATATATTTAACATTAACGCGCTTTTCCAATGGAAACAAAAAATTCCAGAAGACTCTTTGAATAATAATTATTTAATTTATAAATTTGGTACCAGTAGATATTTTAAAATCTATTCTCTAAGAAATAAGCTATAAGTATTATAAAAAGTAACCTACATTCCCATTCACCTATCCTTACTGCAACTCCACCTGAACATGAATGGACTCTTCAGGCCATGATGACAACCCTGTTATGTCACCTCACCTGAGCTTTGAGAATGTCTGGGAAAGAGGTCTACTGGCTCTCAGGCTACAATATTTTTACCTCATTTCACCCAGAATCTTTAAAACATTATCATTATTATAAACCAAAACAATTAAAAATATGTTCAAGCTTAATTTACAACCAAGACACATGAGAACTAAAACCATATTGGCACTAAAATGCTCACCTATAATTCTAAGACTAACCATTGCTAATGCCTTTGTATATTTTCTTTCTGTGTGTATTAACTTATACTTGAGTATGTATGTATTTAAAAAGCAAAATCTGGATTAAGCTACATGGTTTTAAACCCTAGTTTTTTGTTTAATATTTATTATATGCCTGTCACCCAATAGTCTTCAAAAATATAATCATAATGACTATATGAGAGTTTCTTTTGGGTGAAGAATTAGGAAGAATTCAAGGAAAAAACCCAATTACCTATTAGACAAAATAATCCTCTTCCTCCAACGATTAACCCCAATACTTTTTGCCATTTTCAGTTCAATTAGAAACAACTAGGGCCGGCCCCATGGCTTAGCAGTTAAGTGTGCGCGCTCCGCTACTGGCGGCCCGGGTTCGGATCCCAGGCGCGCACCAATGCACCGCTTCTCTGGCCATGCTGAGGCGTCCCACATACAGCAACTACAAGGATGTGCAACTATGACATACAACTATCTACTGGGGCTTTGAGGGTTAAAAAAAAAAAAAAGGAGGAGGATTGGCAATAGATGTTAGCTCAGAGCCGGTCTTCCTCAGCAAAAAAAAAAAGAGGAGGATTAGCATGGATGTTAGCTCAGGGCTGATCTTCCTCACAAAAAAGAAAGAAAAAGAAACAGCTAGAAAACAATTTATACTCTAGTTCTCACAAGTCTTTTCATATTTAAACAGATTCATATATAAAGAAGGAAAAATATTCTATTCTTTACTTAGATTTTTTTTTAACTGCAGGAACTGTGTCAAACATCATATTCTGATTTAAAAGTAAACAGACTTAAATTATATACTTCTCAGTTTTGCCACTTTGACCAACTAGACACATATACCCCTTTGTTTAGATACTATTACAAAGCCACCCAAGGTTAAAAGTTTTAATTAAAGTAGCAAAAAACTAGTTTGGAAACAAAACATAAATGATATCCTAATCCATACTGCAGAAGAAAAAAAAAATACATCTAACAAATGAAATGTTTCTAAAAATAAACTATGACCATAGTTTTCAACTATGGAAGTTTTTCTCAAGGCAGAAAAGAAAACTGCTGAGATTTCCAAAGTGAAAATGACTCAAATGTATATAAGTTATGAGTACCTGAGTACTAGTAACAAAAAACTGTGTAATTTCTCTGAAATTATCATTTTTAGTGAGAAAACCCAAAGAGACAATTTAAAACAAAATCCCAACATGAATATGTGGAGGCTTTCACGCACTGAGTATGGCACGACCTATGGCACGACCTATGGCAAACGCTGAGGATGCACAGAGAAAAATGAAACAGTTCCTGTACCCAAAAAGTTAGTGAATGGGCTCCTTAAGTAGCTTCCTCCAGCAGCCTGACTTCCCATCGCTGGAGCAGGCTGAGAAGCAGTGCTGACTCTCAAACTGACAAGGGAGAAAACAAATGGCAAGCTCTATTAAACTGAAACAAGCAATAGTCCAGCATCACAAATACGTTTCCACTTTGCCAGATCTTCTTGGACCTGGCACCAAAACAATATGTGTACCTGAGACACAAAAAGAAAAAACTAAAATAATGACAACTGAGAATGTCTCTGCCCACTAGGGGCTAGTCAATAAACAGGCAGGATACTATTATCTCTGATTGCATAAATTTACTATCACAGATGCATAAGTTTGGACGATATATGCACTTAGAAAAGGAAAATTTATGCAATTTATGTTATTAAATAATATATCTTATATAATACATATTAGCTCATGAACATATGAAAACACACACACACATTCATATGTTCATTGAGCTATAAAAAAGAATTTGTTAAATAGTTGCTTGGAACCACCCAAATACAAAACAATCAAAGCTGAACCTGTTATATTCAAAATATCTTCCTGTTAAAAGATGGCACATAACTTATAATTCAATTATCATATATTATATACGTACATGTGCATTAGAAAAAGAAAATCAAGTGGTCCCATATCAACTTGTCAAGAGTGGTTTTTTCCTCTGGGTGGTAGGATTAGAGATAATTTTTATTTCCTTCTTTTTGCTGATCTGTATTTTCTAATTTTTTTCCATAATAAGCATGTATTAATTATACATAAAATGTTGAAAAACAGCCACCAGGTTCTTAGAGCTTTCTTTACAAAAATGCAAAGATTATATCCCATTTGCCACCATCAGCATACTTACATAATATGGTTCTGCCTCCCGTTCAGTTATCTCATCCTGATACAGAGTGAAGCAAGTTGGAATTCGTCCAAACCACACATCTCGAAGCACATCTTTGTCATCTGTCATTCTTCCAGTGGTTAAAGCAGTACATATAGGCTAAACTCTTTTTTCAACCAAAGCCAAACTGAAAATAAAATGAAGAGCATTAGTCAGATCCTTACAAGCATGAATGAACTTGCTCTGAAACAAAGAAAGATTGATTATAGGAAAAAATGAATGCCATAAAGGTTATTCACTTCAAAAAACTGTGTGATCAGCAATCTTTAGAAGAAATGCAAAAATCAGTACAAGAAAATCTAAATGCAGAGCTATTATTTATTTAAAAGGATCACAGAAGTAACCAATTCAAAATTATATATACTAATGTATGCAAATAGTGAACCACAGTCAAAGTGAAACTAGCCTCAGTCTCTCAAGCCCCAAGAGTCTATTGCTTACCTAAAGTGAACTCTTCTCCTATGCCATAAGGTCCCTTATAGCCCAACTCCAAAATACCACCCCCACAATTATCTCTGCCCCATCTAATATATTCAACCTCTCCTACTCCAGATGGTTCTGACTCTCTTCCTGCAAAAAAATATCTCTCTCTCATCTTGGAAAAAATCTTTGTAAACCTATTTCCATTCTAAATTTCATCCTCCCCACAATTTGATTCCATCAGTATTTCCAATCTTATTTACTATACCTTTTTTTATAAACCCTCTAGCAAAACTGGCCCCTTAAACACCTTGCTCTCTGTTGCACCATTCCCCGACTAGTATGCTCTTCTCTCTGTTCAAATCCTACCCACTCTGCAAACCCAGCTCACAATCCTCTGCCCCAATGAAATAGTAAATGCTTCTACTTTGAACTCTTATAATATTCCCTATACCATACATATTAGCACTAAATCTGCAAACTGAAATTTTCTGGGTATGGTAGAAGGACATGGCTTCTGAACTCCATAGTATGCAAGTGTCTTCAAGAACTAATATTCTATAATTAGATAACATCACCACATAGTCTATGAGTAAATGCTGAAAGAAATACTGTTGGTACCTGGATACTGAGATTAATATTCTTCTACTTAAACATTTATTTATACATATATATAAATATATATATATCCCATCTTTCATAGGCTAGCTAATTCATAATTTATCACAAAATATCTTGTGGAAACATTTTAAATAACCATATTAGTTTAGCCAAATACCAATTATTAACACTGAATTATTCAAAGAGCATTTTTTCCTCTCTTTTCTCTTCCACTGACCAATGCCAAGTGCATCAAGACTACCATAAATTAATTAGTCAAAGAGATAAAAACTCGAGCAGAGTTCTGAACTTTGTGTCACTATACTTAAAAGCACAGTGGAGGTCAACTGGATGCAATGTCATCTACAGGTAAATAAACTGAAAGAGGTGAAAAAACCTGTCCAACAAGGGCTCTTGTTACAAGAGCCCTTAGTAAGAGTCAAACCAAGATAAGACCTCTGGTCACTTGAACTGAGTCCAGTGCTCCTTCCAACATACCACAGTGTTTCAACTTTTATTAAAATATATCCATAAAAGTCACCATTTTAAGCAAATGATACATGCAAACTTTATATCATTTCCTCTTGACAGGCTTCAAATTCAAACAACATATTGAGTTTCTGCACTCTGCAGAAAATTCTCAAGTTTACAAAGCACACAAAATTAACTCATTGAAAACAGGAAAGACTTCGCTATTTCCTGATTACATTAACAGCTTGTTCTTTATGAATAAATTTACTGGTGGAAGAAAATAATGAAATATGAGTTATGACAAATAAGTAAATCTAAAATTGAATCTGATAATGGTGGTTTCTGTAACTATGATATATCCAATTAACCAATAGCTAAAACTGAGATCCTCGCTTGCTCACAAAGAAAAAATATTTGAAGCAAAGAGCTACTTTCCTAAGAGATTTTAAGAACATTTAAATACAATTTTAAAGTTGAAAGTCACTATCAATATTGTCACACTGGATGATTTTTCTCCCTGAGGAAAAATACATAGAAAATACAATTCAAAAGAAAATTAGAAATTGAAGTGGGTATGGCCACCTAAGGAAAGGCATCTCTATGGGCATCTCTCCAACCACTGTCCTCTCAAGAAGGAATAATAATCTGGTCAGATTCCAGAACACCATTAGAGCCTTGTTTATTAACAGGCAGGGGTCACCAGAAACCAAAATATCATGCATGTGGGTGCGGCTCCCTTCTCCTCTCAAAACTGCCAGATGACAACACTTGACCATCCTGCTCTTTGTTTCAGTGGCATTTTCTTCTGCTTTTTCCCTTCCATGTGTCAGGAACAGTCAAAAGAAATGGCCAATATCTGCCTCTTCTGTTTGTTTCTGGGAGACTCTCTCCAACAGTGATACAAGTACGGACTTATCTTTTACTGGTTTTGTACCTAAAATCCCATTGCGGAACTTTGGTAAACCAGGCTGGAACATCGGACTTTATCAAAGTTCTGAGGTGGGATTTAAGGTACAAAACCAGTGAAAGATAAATTGGTACCTTATTTCCCATATACCATTGTTTCTTATGTGTATATTTCCTGCAGGACCTCAAGGGAAGAATGGACTCAGCCAAGGCAGCTAAAGGTGTAATGTGGTAGCGTCAATACAGACTTTACAAGACAAATAGAAACTGCAAAACAGATTTATGAAAACTGCAAACAAGGCTACTTATTGCCTTAAAATACATAGACCCAAATTTATAAGATCATAAAATGTTAATCTTTCAATATTAATAAATGTTCATCTATAACGAATTACATAAAAAAGCACATCTCTAGTCTAGTGAATACACATAACTAAAAAAGGTACAAGAAAAACTGGCTGATACACGGATAAAATTAAAGGATGTGAGTATTCAATCATCCTTTTTAAAACAGGCAGAAAAACAAAATTTAACTCTTGAAAAGCACTAGAGTATGGGGGTTCAAAATGTAGAATACGGAGCCAGACTGCCTGGATTCAAAACCTAGCTCCACCACTTAACTGTGTGAGCTCAAGTAAATCACTTAATTTCTCTGTGTCTGTTTTCTCATCTGTACAATGAGAATAACAGCACTTACTATATAAAACATGAAAATTAAATTAATACATGTAAAACACTTAGAATAATGCCTATAAATATAGTACTATAAAGTGTATCTATCATAATTTATAGAACCAACAAAAAGCATGTCTCAAAAAATGTTTAAAAGTCATAAAGACTTCAAGAACTAAGAATAATCAAAAGCATTAAATAATGTGAACAGGAACTATAAGAGTAAAGGAAAATAAAAATTATGCATGAACATTGCTAATAGCACTCAATAAAGAGTCAATATGGGCCAGCCCCAGTGGCCTACTGATTAAGTTCGGCACACTCCACTTTGGTGGCCCGGATGCAAACCACCACCACTCATCAGTGGCCATGCTGTGGCAGCGGCCCCCATACAAAATAGAGGGAAACTGGCAACAAATGTTAGCTCAGGGCAAATCTTCCTCAGCAAAAAAAAAAAAGAGTCAATAAATATTTGCTCATTTGATACGCCCAGCTCTGTAGCAAGTGCTGAGGGCATACAAGATGATGATGGTGATAATAAAAATAACAACTTTTTAAAACCTCAGGCACTGCCCAGACGGTATTATCTCCAAATCTACTAAACATACCATGTACTTTCACGTCCTTTCCGTGGCTTTGCTCGTGCTGGTGATTCCTTACCCTAAGGTAGCCTTCCTCTCCTTCTCTTCCAACTTAGACATCCTTCAAGACCCAGCTCAAAATAGCCTTTCTTCAATGCATGACTCAGGCAGAACCTTTGTTTCCTCATTGTGCCTTTACTTTTCCTCCACTACAGCACTTATAAGTGTATAGGAAAGATTTTTTATCTCTGATTTCCAATCTCATATTCTCTCCTTCATACCATACCGATTGCCAACGTCCCTTTCCACTCTAAAATGTCGACGGTTAAAATTAAATGTTACTTTGTGAGAGCTTTCATAATGAAGGAGGGAAAAGCAGAAGTAAAATATTAATATATCCCATAGGTTTAGGGAAGAATTTTAAAAGGTATGGAACTTCAAGAATGGGTAGAATATGGACAGGCAAAGAGAGGACGACAAATATTCCAAGAAGGGCAAAATAGCATCAGCAAAGGGAGGAAGTGGGCAGGAGCAATACGTGTGCCAACTTTTAAGGAAACTTTGGGTTGGGAGTAGTAGTAGATAATGAAAGAGCTAACACTGTGACATGTTTTAATATCACATGTGATCCTAGGCAAGTCACTTTACTTCACTAAGCTTCAATGTCCCTACCTGTAAAATTCACCCGGTTGTTCTGAAAAAAAGAAAAAAAAAATCTATAAAGTGTCTGACACGGTACTGGACACACAGTAAGTGCTAAGAAATAAAAGCAATTATTATTTCTTTAACGTCAAATCTGTAATATAAAATGAGACTAGATCATGAAGCATACCAAATGGAAGAATGTGGGTTCTCAATTTCATCCAACAAGCCTAGAGAGCCTGGAAGGTTTTATAATGGTGAAATAAAAACAACTGCCTGGTAGCAGTGCACAAAAAGAGACCCCGAGTCAGAGAGAGGCTGGCCAGGAAGCAGTTTCAGCAACTAAGGCATATAATAATGAGTGCCTGACCTAAACTGGTAGCAGTGGATAGATGAGAGACAGATATGAGATCTTTCCAAGGAAGACTGAATAGAAGTTGGTGAAAAATTGGCAGAGAGATAAAGAATAAGGACAGGGAAGATTTAAATGCTGACAGCAGGCAATACATTAAGGTAGTTAAGGGGTTTTGAAACCAGACTGACACAGGTTTAAACCCTGACTTCTGCCTATAAGGTGTGTGTCCTTGGATAACAAACCTGACATCTCCCAACTTCATATTTATAAACTGAAAATAATTGTAATTTCAGGGGGCTGTTGGGTGTTTACCACCTGATAACCGCTCAATCAAAAAATGAAATATGTATTTAACACATGGTTTCCTTGAGCTTCCATGGCCCCTCTGCTAGAACACTCTCTTCCTCTTCTTTTGGCCAACTCTTAATCCTCTTTTAAGAGTCAGCTTAACATCAGCTCCCTGGGAAGCTTTCCGCAAAGCAACCACCACTCTAATTACTTCTATAACAGCATGTTATAACCATGCACTGCAGTTATGTTTATCTTATCTGTCTCTTGCTCTTCCCCACACTGAACTGCCCGTTCCTTGATAGCAGAAACTGAGTCATATTTACCTTTGTATCCCCAATATTAGCATAAGTAGCACACAGCAGGCTCTGGAATTTGTATCAAACAACTGAAAAGTATATAAACCCAAAAGTTACACTCACTACTTAAGAAACTTTTCCACCTAGACTCCTTTCCAAATCAGTACAATAACACTTTAAATTCAGCAAATTTCATTATTCTAGAAAAATATTTTTCCCTCTCATAGATACACTACTCTATCATCACCATGCATCCAATTTGAAGGCAATGCTTTGGAAGCACAGAAATCCCAACCCATGATGCAGTCTACTAGAAGTAAGCTTCTTGAGGGCAGGGGTTGCTACTTCTTCCTGGCTGCTGTATTCTCTGCATCTAATCCAGGGCCTGGAACAAAGCAGGTGCTCAACCAACAACATTTAGCCATTAGCACAGTCAGTATGATAAAAATATGATGCACAATTAACAGTCCCTTTCACACTACAATAACATAGGCTAACCTACTACCTGAAGCTATTCTGCTGACAAAATCCCTAGCTACCTAGATATTACTTAAAATATCAAATACCTACTAGTAGTAAATTGGTAAACATCTAAAAATAATAACTTACGCCGGCTGGTCTCCCTTTAAAACACTGACCTCATAAGTGGACCCTGAGTACTGTCCAGCGTTCCTACATTTCCCTGGTCCATTTATTCTCCCACTGTCCTAGATCGCCATTTCATAACTTCTCTCTCTCCAAATTTTCACATCTCCTTCCTCACTCTCTCTCAGCTAATGACCTAGGTGGCTTTCCATTTCCTTCTATCCCATAACTAAGGATCAGTGGTTCTCAATAAGGGTTTTAATGAACAGCCCCACCCTCACCCTGGGGGATAGTTCCTAAATCTCTCGAATCTCCAAAGGTTGAAGTGCCCCAGGGGCTCAGTCCTTGAACCTTGCCTTTAGAGATCTCTCATGGCTTTAAACATCATTTACACATTAATGATTTCCACATTTACATCTTCAGCTCAGACTTCTCTTCTGAACTCCGGTTCATATACACTACTGCATACTGACATTTCATTTGAAAATTTAGCACGTGGAAAAACTGAAAATGATTTCAGATCTTCCTCCCTCCTCTCCCTATTACTCTGTAGTCCTCCTCAAATCACTAAGTGGCAACTAGTCTTTAGTTGCTGAGGCCATAAACCTTGGAGTCATCCTTGACCCCTCGTCACATCTGACAGCCCTAGCTTAAACACAAGTCTAGAATCTGGCCATTTCTCACCACCTCCACTATTATACTCATCCAAGTCACCTTGACCTTTATCCTGCATAAATGCAATTGCCTACTAACGGGTCTCATTATTTCTGCCCTTGCTGCAGACAGACAACATAGAAATCTGAAAAATTTTGTGTTTTAAACACAAGCCAGATTAGTTTACTCTTTTACTCAAAACCACACCATCTCACTGAAAGCAAAAACTAAAGTTCTTACAAAGTCCTACAGGGCCCTACATGACCCAGCCCCATTCTGACCTGCTTATCTACTTCTCTCCGCTCTCGCTCACTCAGCTCCAGCCAAACTAGCTGGTATGTCCTGCCTCAGGTACTTTGTGGTTGCTCCAATGTCTCTTTCCACTACGTCCTCACGGCACCCTTCTTTCATCACTTTTAGGTCTCTACTCAAACATCTTTCCTAAGGCCCCCACTGCAGTTTCCTTCCTATGCAGGACACCAGCATTCCCTCTTCACTGCGTTCTTTTTTCTCTAGCACCTCTCACCACCTGACATATATTTTAACTAATTTTTATATTAACATCTCCTCCACCCTCAAAGTAAACTTCATGATGGCAAGGATTTTTATTGTTTCGCTCACTGTTTACTGTTTTGTTTACTTTTTGTTCACTGCCAGGCACATAACAGGCACTCAGCATTTGCTAAATTAATAAAGCGAACCTACACTTGAAATGCGTACGTTTAAAAACTCATATCCATACAGTACCATTCTGTTCATTTTCCCCCAATTTCAACTAGCATACTTTTGAGGGTCAAAGCACACGCTTAAATCTAGTTTAAAATTCTAAAATTCCCCTCAATTACTACCCTCAGCCCAACGTCTTTACCTTCCAATTCAAAATTCAACCAACAACTCCCTCTATGGCAATCACAAATAATTCAGTTCAGATTCAAGTCCTCAGTCCCAAAGACTCTTAGATTTATCAACTGAATTCTGGAAGGCCCTGGACGTTCAGTGCTGTCTGACAGTCTCTCTGGGTTCTGATTCTCGCGCCTCCCCCCGCCCCCCCAGAAAAATCTAGAACCAATCCAGTTTCCCTAGGTTCAAGTCCAGGTATAATTTGAAAATAACCCAAAGTATAATTAAAGTATGTGAAAGTGCTTTGCTAACAGAAAATGGCTTTGTCAGCACTAAATATTATTATTAAAGTGAGACAAAGAATGCCATGGAGAAGATAAATTGGAGGAAATACCCATCGAATTCGGAAAGAATCGGCTGCCTGTGAAATAATTATGATTTAAATAACTGTTCCACAGAAACGCAGGTCCTGAACTAAACTCTAGAGCCTGCGATAGGACCCTGGGCTTCCTACCTTAGGAAGGAACAGACACACTCCCCGATAGAGACCGCACAGGCTACACCCTCCGGCCGGCCCAGGGGCCCCGGGGGCGGCGTCTGGCCAACCCCACCTCCCCGGGAGGAACCACCTTCACCCGCCACCGCCCGAGGGAGCGCTTCCCCGCCGGCCACTCGCCCCTCCTTCTTACCACACCTACCTGACACCTCCCCAACCCTCCTCCTCCGGGCACTTCCTCACCCTGGGGAGACACACATACACATACCCTACCAGAAGCGCTGGCTCCTCCTCCGGCTTCCCGCACCGGTGAAGACGCCCGGGTCCCAGGCTCTGGCGGAGCGGCGGCGCAGGGGGCTTGACACACAGTCCCGCAGAGGCTCGAGAGCCAGGAGTGCGGAGACTACGCGCAGCCGCAGAAAGCACCGCGCGGAGGTCGGAGCCTAGCCCGGCTGCACTTCCGCCCTTCAGGATCCAGAGAATACAACCTGCAGCGTCGCGCAGCCCTGGAAGCCCACCGCAAGTCCAGTCACCCCCGGCGCCCGGAGATGACGTCACGGGACCCCACGTGGCCCGCACTCCGCCCTCCGAGTTTGGCCCAACCCGGCGAGGAGACCGGAGCCGCCGTTGCGCATGCGCGGACTGAGCGGAGCTTGAAGGTGGGGTCAAATCCCTGGCAAATGCACAGCTTCTACCCTCATACGAGAGTCTCGTGCTTTTGGCATAGTCGTTGGTGTTTGGGGAGGTTTATGTAACAGTTCTGTTAGAGCGGAGAGTTTTACACTGCCTCACTAGAGTTTGATCGCAGCCTCCCTCTCGTTGCTTGACAGAATAATATTAATAAAACGTTGGTTTTTAAAGTGTTTTCTCATTTATCTTCCCAACTTTGTCAGAGCCACAGCAGGGATTAATAGCCATATTTAACAGAAGGACTGAAATACAAGAGCCCAGAAGGCCTCCCATCCACCCAGTATCTTTCTGTTTGTGAAAATAACAAGCAATTAGTAAACTTACTCCTAAAGAGTGTTTCAATTGGATCTATCTAGAAGTCTTGCCAGGCATTTAACGTTTTTCTCTTAATTACGCGTGCCTTACAACATAATACTATGCACGCTAGGTAAATACTGTGCTTAGATTCAAAATAGTTTCCTAGTAATTGGAAAGATTGGGGAAATCCTAGTAGTAGCCACAGGATTCTTTTAAAAAGAAGAATCTTCTTGGAGGTTGACTAGTCCAATGATTTTCAAATGGTGAATCACAGCCCACTGGTGGGTCATCAAGTCAAGTTAGTGGATCATGACTAGCATTTTTTAAATGAAATAAAATATAAAATATTGGCATGCTTCCCATATGTTAAGATAAATATTGTTTGTTGAAATGTTTACTTCAGTGTGTATGTGATGTACACTGGATAGGAATGTGAATTACATTTCTTGGTATGAGTAGCAGTTAAAATGTTTGAAAGCCATAGTCTGATCCACTCCACCTACTCAATGCAGAAATCACCTCTACAGCATCCCCAACAGACAACCATTAGCCTTTGTAAAAAGAAAACTTCTTGGGATTAAGGTGCCCCACCTTCCCAATGCAGCCAAAACTGTATGGAATTTACTTTGAACTGTATCAAAAAAATTAGATGGATAGAGGGATGGATAGATGGATAAATATGTGGTAATGCAAGTACAATAAAATGTTAATGGTAGAATCTAGGTGGTGAGTATGTGGGCATTCATTGTAAAATTCTTTCAATTTTGCTGTATGTTTGAAAATTGTCCTAATAAAACGTTGAGAGGAAAACTATGTATGGAGAACCTAATAGGAAGAAAGTCATTACACTGAGCTAAAATCCAGCTTCCTGTAACTTTTAAGAATTGACCCTGTTTCCTTTCTCTCTCTCCTTGTCCCTCCTCTACCCCATGGCTACAACCTACCATAGAAGTATCTAACCCTGTTCTACTAGACAGCACCTCAGATGTGAAAAGATAGCTCTCATTCTCCATAACCCACTCAGGGATAAACATTGGCGGTTCTTTCAGCCATTCTTCACATGACATATCTTTCCTCTGGATATGTTCCAGTTATCAGTGTGCCTATGTCCCTTTCTTTGCTCTAAACTTGCTTAAATCTGCTTTCCTAAACTCTAAGATGTCTCTTCTACCACCATGAACTCTAACGTGCCATTGCTTCCTGACCCCGAGTTCCCATTGACTCTCTATCTCCAACCTGCTAGTTTCAGAGGATGTTAGTTAAGCCCGATTTAATCCTTCTACTTCAGCTGTAGCTCCTCTGACTATGCTCCAAGCAATTAACATGTCTCCCTGATTTCCCTCACTACTGGTTTCTACCTTCAGCCTATAGTCGTGCTCAGGTGTTCTGCTATCCTATTACAGTCCTTCCTTTAACCTTCACCACTTCTTATCTAGACTATTAGGATAGCCTCCTAGCAGGTCTCCCTGCCTCCAGTCCTTCTCCACTTGCCTCAGGGGCCATCTGTATTTGACTTGGACTTCAACCAGAGTGGATTATCTAAGATGCACTCTAAAACTATGTCATCCGATACTTAAAACCTCTTAGTGATTCCTTCTGGGCAAATTCTTAGTTTCCTATCATGATCAACAAAGTCTTCTATGACTGGTTCCTTCCTTCCTTCCAGCTTCATTTCCCTGCCTTGCACTTCAAACTCCAAGACTATCAAACGTTTTGCAGTTCTGTGCACACAGGCTATGTCACGCTTCTATGCCATTGTTCCCGCTGTTCCAACGCCTAAAATGCCATCCCCCACCAGACCCATTGCTAGATCCCCTCTTCTCCATTTGCATACACCACTCATTCTCCAAGGCTCAGTTCAGATGTTGGAAAATTTTCCCTGATCCACCCAGTCTGGGTTAGGTGCTCCTCATAGTTTCCTCAATCATTTTTTGAATCCCCAATGCCGGCACAATGCGTGGCATTCAATAAATGGTGTTTGTTGAAATAAACTAAGCTGAACATGAGCTTTCTTCCATGATGCCCATCGCTTTCATCTTAGGAACTAAATTCTTCCTCATAGCTTATAGTTTGAGTAGAAAGTTGTGGTTTCCTTTATTACTTCATCAACTTCACAATTATCAGCAAGGAAAGTTGAAAGTGATTGAGGTACACTGCTGTTAGAGTGGGAGTCCCGCAGTCACCTGGCAGTCAAGGGCCTCCACCACTACTGCATCCTGTCTCAGGGCCAGTTTTGTGATCTGCACGGGGAAAGGGTTGCTGCTTCCATCTGCTGCACACCCTGCAGTGTATTCCCAGAACACCATCACATTTCTCTTCTTCTATCCTTTTATCCTTACTCAAATGATACATCTCAAATGATGCTAGAATGGCAACTCCTAGAAAGCAGGAATGACTTCCTGTATATGAAAGGCTGCAAACTGAAATTCCACAGACTGGAACTGAACCACTGGTATGACCCTGTAATGTACTCTAACCTACTCTGGCATACACAGTGTGATATAATGTATGTGCTAGTTCAAGCTTCAATTCTAGTTGCCCAAACTAAGAATTCCATGCTCTGGAGGTGGTCAGGTACCAACACATCAGAAAGACCACACTCCAGATGCAGCTATCCCAAGAGAATCTGTTATCGCTATCTTGATCCACACCACATGGTTTGCTAATTAGCATAGTGAATGTCAGAGATGGGCTTTTACTTTTGGCTTGCTCAAAAGTATGATAAATGTTAAAAATGGGACCTCATTTATGAAATTAGCAGCATTTAAGGTATATGGATTGACGAAAACATTTTAGAGAGTCTTGCCATCCTTGCATGAACAGAGTACAGGAATCCATGAGCCTGCAGCTCGATCCCTAAATTTTCTCATGTCTTTTTATAAAGGTTACAGAATTCAGCCTCAGAAATGGTGTTACATCTTCCTTAAGAGAACCTTTCTTACAAGGAGATAGAGCACCTTATAGGGCAGAGAGCTGGGGACTTATCAAGCTTATAGAGCAGGTTGTATGAACTGTTTTGTTTAATAAATGTCTGCATGTGCATCAGAATTTGGTCTAAGATTGACTTCCATTATAATCTCATATCCAGATTATGGGGATGTAATTAATCCTCACCCACCTCAACTTCTTTGGTGGCTATAGTTATCTATGGAAAAGAATCTAGGAGTTATACATGATCAAATTAGACTTGGTCAGATAGCAAGAATGGCAGATACATTCTCTTTGTCCCTTAAAATGTTTTTAAAACTCTAAAAAAAATTTTAAATGGTAACAGGTTTCAAAAATTTAGATTTCTGGTTTATCCTGAAATCTGACAACCCTGGGGCCCACATTCCCACATGGCAAGCGTGTGCTGGAATGGAGGAGCAACTGCCCCCTTTTAGGCTGAGCATGCCCTCTCCAGTTTGCCACTGTCCCCACAGCATCACTTATTTGGACATTAGATTACCTACCTGGACACTAGAGGCATCGGAGTTTAACATTCCTTTATCGCTCTCCTTATTTCTAAGGCTGTGCTTACCTCAGTTCTTTGCACATAGATATAAATGTTGAACAAAAGACCAAAACAACCAGTCCAGAATGCGTTATACTGAATAATTTAACACATATTTGATTGTAATTATGATCATATTTATGCTTCTAAGATTTTACTTTTAAACGGTTCTAAGGACACATGCTTGAAAGTTGGGAAAGTATCATTATATAGTATTTTTTCCTATGAAGTGAGAGAAAACATTTGGAGGATACAAATATTATTTTGAGACTTTCAATGCTCAACAATCATAAGAATTCCATTTGTATCTATTTAATTGGCATTCTAAAATCAATTCAGGTGCTGAATAGGTAGAGTCTTTTAGCTTTAATGACAGCCTTTCATTCACTGTGTCAAGTCTTCATTCAGTCATTTGAGCATTTCTTGAGTTCACATTATTATATGCTTGGAAAAGTGAAAATAGCTCTTAAGCAACAGCAAGGAAACCATAAAATATAAATACATACATGAATATATATTTTAAAATCACAATTTGGCACAGTTTTCCTATGACTACCATGTCAACTATATAGTGCCATATGTAATTCTATCACTGCTACAGATAAAATCTGGGTTTCTGTTGAAAATATTGTGTTAAAAGACTATGATTCCAGTTACACAATACTCTCTACCTACTTGCCTACACAGTTGGATTCTGTAGGAGTGAATTAAAGCAATATGCCAAATAGTCTTTGGAAATATACATTCATAACTCTTATGCATTTGTGTTTTAATTTTTGATCCCATAAATTAATATTATTCTAAAAAAAACTTTGAATTAGATTATTTGGCTGTTCCCATGTGAATCTTTATCTATAAAAAGCTCTGTTACTAAAAACTGGGAAAAATCAGTCAGGCAGTTTTTCAATCGGTTTTTTCAATGAGTACAGAAGAAAAACAGTCTGGGAAGTGTAAAACTTAGGGGGAAGTCTTAAAAAAACAAAACAAAGCTGAACAGCCTGATTCTTGAAACAGGAAAATAAATCCTTGCAATAACACGTTGTTGTCGCCAGGTGTCGCAATGGACCTGATGTAAAGCTCAGAGCTCCCCAGCCAGCAGGGCCAGTCAACAGCACTCTGGATGTGTTTCCAAATAGAAAACCTCTGGTTATCTCAAGAGATCTCGTGAAATCCTGAAAAGGTTCACACAACAAAATTATTTTAATTTGAAAGGAAAAAACCCACTGTCTC